TAAGTCGTTTCTTTAGCTCAAGAAACCCTTTCTCCCATTTATCGTCCCATACGAACTTAGCCCCCTTTTTCATGAGCTTTGTAAGTGGTGACGCCAACACGGAGAATTTCTCAACAAATTTACGATAGTAACCCGTTAAGTCGAGGAAACTATGTCTCTTTCACATTCTTGGGTCTCTCCCAATCAATGATGGATGTTATCTTGGTGTTGTCCACCGCAACGCCTGAACCGTATATGATATGACCGAGGAAGCCAATCTCCTTGAGCCAAAATTCACACTTAGAGAACTTGGCAGAGTTGTTTTTCCCTTAGTCGTTCAAGTACAAGCTTTAAGTGATGTTCATGCTCTCCTTCGTTCTTCGAGTATATCAAGATGTCATCAATGAATACAATCACAAACTGATCTAAGTACTCACTAAACACACGGTTCATCAAGTCCATGAATGTTGTCGGTGCATTGGTTAAACCAAATGACAACACTAGAAACTCGTAGTGACCGTATCTAGTGCGAAATGCACTCTTAGGTATGTCACTCTCCTTGATCTTCAATTGGTGATAGCCCGACCTCAAATCGATCTTTGAGAACACCATTGCTCCCCGAAGTTGGTCAAACAAATCATCAATCCTCAGTAAAGGATATCTATTCTTGATTATGACCTTGTTCAGTTGTCGGTAGTCAATACACATTCTTAGCGTACCGTCTTTCTTCTTCACGAAGAGTACTGGTGCCCCTCATGGTGAATGGCTAGGTCTAATGAATCTGTTGTCCAATAGCTCTTGTAGTTGGACCTTCAACTCTTGAAGTTCCGCCGGTGCCATTCGATAAGGAGGGATCGAAATGGGTTTGGTTCTCAGCTCTACTTCGATCACGAATTTGATTTCCCTATCGGGTGGAAGCCCCAGTAAGTCTTTGGGGAAGACGTCCGGATACTTACACACGATACGTACATCGTTGATGTCAACTTCTTTCTTTGTCTCGTCCACCACGTAAGCAAGGTACGCGTGGCATCCTTTCTTCATCATCTTTCGTGCCCTCACGGCAGATATGATACAACTGGTTGTCTTGCCTTTGTCTCCCTCAAAGCTTAGGATCAATCCTTCACTGCTTTCAAGTTCGAGGACCTTTGTGTAGCAATCGACCCTGGCATGATACTTCTCAAGACAATCCATCCCGAGGATTGCATCGAATTTAATCATACCCAAGGGTACAAAATCACACATCAAGGGTTGGCACTCTACTTCCACTTCACACGAGGGATAGTGGCTATCTCTTTCGATGTCATCCCCCAAAGGTGTGGAAACCAATAGAGTTCGAGTCATCGGTACAAGCGGTTCGTTGAACTCTCTGGCGAATGACTCGGACACAAATGATCATTGCGCCCCCGTATCGATGAGGATTCTTGCATCTCTCCCGTTAATCTTTAGTGTTCCTACATTTATTAGACACGTAAGATGCCTTTCCTACCATAACTATACATTTATGGAGGTTTATTATGTTAATACGCATGTTTGGAAACAAAGAGGGGTCGTAACGTCGCAAAGCGCCTTGAAACCCCCCATATTGGGCAGTCTGGGTGCCACGCACGGCGTGCGTGGGAGGCACGCACGCGTGTGTGGCTTCGGTTTTTCACCTGGGGCTACTGCCCACCACGCACAGAGGGACGCATGGGGGACACACGGAGGGGCGCACGCGTGCATCACCCCACGCATGGCTGTGCGTCTGGAAAATTTTTCCTGGAGGCCGTCTGCCACCCACGCACGGTAGCACACACGCGTGCGTGTAGGCGTGCAGTGGCCATTTGAAGCATGTTTTTGCCAAAATTTTCCCGGTTCACCCCCCAGGGTGGACCGTACTCAAACCTTACGACTTACATCATCAATATAAGCCTAGAAATAGTCGGAATTCAGTGTATTACCTGCAACGGAGTCCGGGTTAGCATGTACATCCGCTTCGGTCATGGCATAGACCCTTGCTTGGGCCCCGCCTTGATTTACGGATGCGGCATTGCTTGTGGATGTGCCGCCTCTTCCCGTGCCGCCGTGTGACGGTCCTGCACGGTTCCTTCCCGTCTGGGCTCCCCCTCCGGCCCCCGAAGTCCCTTCCTTCCTCAATTGTGGGCAATTGGCCTTCATGTGGCCCGCATTCCCGCATTGGCAGCACCTCGGGGGTGCATTGCACTTCCCGAAAGGGTTCTTTGAACAATTGGCACATTTTGGTGATCTCGAATGGTGAGACCCAGACGTGTGCCACCTAGAGTCCCTGTTTTTCTTTGTTGGTGGTGCTGGCGCCTTGAACGACCCACCGCCTCCGTGGTTATTCTTACGCGAGTGCTCGGGCGGTCCCGAACTGTGCCACTTCCTCTTCTTCACCTCCTCGACGTCTCTCTCCTTCCTTTCATTCCATTGGGTTTCCCGAAGCATGCCTTGTTCCACCACTTCACTAAAAGTCATGTGGCGTGAGTATGTGGCCCGGTCACGGATGTCCAACAATAAGGCATCCCAAAAGTGCTCAGTCATGCGGTCCTCATCGGCCGCATACTCCGTTAAGAACCTAGCCAAGGTTCTAAACTCTTTCTCCAATTGCTTAACGGTTAAGCCCTCCTTCTGTTTGAGGTTCGTGTACTCTCTACGCTTCACATTTACCTCATAGTCAGAGTAGTATTGGGCGTAGAACTCCTGTTCAAAGCTTGCCCATGAGATGTTCCCACGGTACTTTCCTTCTACATTCACCCACCACGTAGAAGCTATTCCTTCAAGCAATCGTGAAGCAACAGTCAACTTCACGTAAGGTGTTATCTGCATGTCCCTCGATGCGTCTTTCACCTTCTTTATCCAATCGGCGACAATAGTATTATCGCCGGTGTCGTCGAAGGATCTGCACCCCAAGGCTCTAGCCTCCTTGAGGTATTTGGAGATCCTCACACTGAAATCTCCCTCACGTCTATCCCGAGACGCCCCTGTAACAGCCCTTGAAACCCCCGACTCCCTTGGCCCGATCCACCTTGAGAGGCACGCCTAGCTTGGCGTCTAAGATCTCTCCTTAGCTTTTCCTTTTCATACCATTCTAATAACTCACCCATCTGAGCAAAACGGGCATCACTTTCATCGTTGTCGTCATCATCATCAGTGTGGAAATCACCCCCATCATACGGGGTTTCCTCATGCTCCGTTTTGGGAACAAAAGTCGAGTCATAGTTCTCGGTGTTAGTCTCATACACCGAGCTTACGTGGCCATCGCTCACTGTTTGGGCACAGTGGCTCCCACGGCCTACACGGCCTCCTCTTCTTCTCCTAGAGACAAGGGATGTGGCTCGGATAGCCCCCACGGTGGCTCCCGCAGCTAGTCCCCTAGGGTTATTTCTCATCGGCATACGTCTACCCTCCATTTCTACAAAGAAATTTGAATGAGTTGTTAGACTCCAATCAATGTCAATCGACGGAACACGTTATAGACACATATTGGCTCAAGTCACCGCCATACCAATTGTTAAGGGTACCATCTTAACAACTAGAGACCTAGCAACCTAGGTAACAATAGTCCTATAAACAACAAAAATACAATGTTCATGGTTTTCAGTAAACTCTCTTGTAAAATATTTTGTGAGAGGTCGGTTACAAAGTTTAGAACTGAGATGTCTCTGATACCACTTAATTGTCACGCCCCAGACCGCATCTAGGCGCGTGTACAACCGTCATATGACCAAGTAACGTCACTCGCAAGTCCACGTGTCTTAATCATACAAGGCATCCATGAACATAATATATCCATACTCAGTAGTAAACATACACAACAACATCACAGTTTAGATTAATTGAATAGCGGAAATATTCAATAACCAATCGTGGGCCACACATGGCCAAAACGTAGGCTCACAGGCCAAAAACAATGTATTAATAAAGAAGTATCCATGAGCATAGTTTATCGTTTGAAATAGTAGAGGGAGCACGAACCACGTCTTCCTCTGGATTCTCTTCACCCGTGCAAAGGTGTAGATGACAAGCCTTAACTTCAACCTGAAATGGCGGGCTCCCCCCAAAGGGGTCAGTACAAGTACCGAGCGGGTAGCAAACTAAATTTAGAATAACTAGCGTTTCAAGTATAAGACCCAAACATAGGGTGATACTTATGTAAATATTTCATTCCCCCAAGTTAAGAAATACATAATAGTATATATACACTTGGAAAAATACCTGATCCGTAGATCACCGTTTTGTTTGGGGAAAATAGTAATAGTCAATACTCTTGACTAAAAACCCCAACCCACCCATATACTTATGACTTATGAGTGTATAGGACTCCTCCTTATCCTTATTTCAATATCATAAACTATGAGTTTTGAGGATAACATAATCCTTGGGAACTCCACCAATATATATATATATATATATATATATATATATATATATTTGAGTGTTAAGGACTTCAAGTCCTAGGGTCCTCCACCAATCTATAATCCGAGTGTTAAGGACTTCCAGTCCTAGGGTTCTCCACCAATTTGTAATATGACTGTTAAGGACTTCAAGTCCTAGGGTCCTCCACCAATTTATATTCCGAGTGTTAAGGACTTCAAGTCCTAGGGTCCTCCACCAATTTATAATATGAGTGATAAGGACTTCAAGTCCTAGGGTCCTCCACCAATTTATAATATGAGTGTTAAGGACTTGTAGTCCTAGGGTCCTCCACCAAGTTTATAATCCTATGATCAACCTCCTATCAACCTAGATAGAGTCTATATCATATTCATAGCCAAATAAATTCATAAAGCTTACGTATCTCAAGTCATGCAAAGCCATGCATTTATATAAATTTATAATTAACTAATACCAACCGGTATTAATTAATCCACTATCCATCGGTCAACGTTTTCGTTAACCGTCATTTCAATCCGTATACATGTCGACTTAATCATCATATATATTAAGTTAATATTATTCATTATATGCTTCCTTTACCTTTCAAAAGGTACTCCAATAGGAGTCCTGGACTGGATATATATAATAAAAGAGTTTAAAACATATTAGGAAATAAATATGCCTAATAATATTCTATTACATCCCCTCAAACTGTGCGGGAGATACAACGCGCAGGTTGTCCTTCAAAAAATGAAATTGCTGACTAGAAAGACTTTTAGTAAAACTATCAGCTAACTGCAGTTGGGTATGGATGTACTTCACGACCATGTCTCCATGAGCCACACGCTCTCGAACAAAATGGTAATCAATCTGGATGTGCTTGCTACGAGCATGCTGAACAGGATTGGCAGTCAAATAGGATGTAGATATGTTATCACAGAATAGCTGAACTGGAACGGTAACCGGAAATCCAAGCTCAAACAAAACCGGACGAATATGCAATGTATCCTGAACAGTATAAGCAACAACTCTATACTCGGGTTCGGTGGAGGACTTAGATACGGTAGCTTGCTTCTTGGACTTCCACGAGACAAGATTTGGGCCCAAGAAAACGGCAAAGCCAGTCGTAGAGCGGGACATATCTGGGCAGCCTGCCCAATCTGCATCTGAATAAGCTATCACACAGGTAGCCTGAGTGGTCGGCTGAAGCCATAATCCATGATCAAGCGTTCCCTGCAAGTATCTAAAAATGCGCTTGACCGCAAACAGATGAGTAGTACGAGGGGCATGCATGAACTGAGACACTAAATGTACAACATAGGTAATATCAGGTCGTGTCAAAGTTAAATATTGTAATGCACCAACCATACTACGATACTCAGTGGCATCTGCAAGAAGCTCCCCATCAGTGAGGGATAAAAAGGTGCGAGTAGCAAGTGAAGTACGAACAGATTTAATTATGTGGAGATGAAAACGAGAGAGAAGATCCGAAACATATTTATGCTGAGAAAGAAATAAACCTTTTGTGGAACGAACAGCCTGGACACCTAGAAAATAGTTAAGATCATCGAGATCTTTCATAGCAAATTTCTTAGCAACAAGTTGAATAAAAGAATTAACAGCAGCGGAATAATTACGAGTAATAATTATGTCATCGACATATAATAATAAATAAATAAATAACATTATTATTCTGGCGGTAAATAAATAATGAATTATCAGACTTGCTGCAAGTAAAATGACGAGTCAAAAGAAAGCTACTAAATCGGTGAAACCATGCTCGCAGGGCTTGTTTAAGACCATAAATTGCTTTTCGCAATCGACATAAATAATTAGGAAACAAAGGATGAATGAAACCCCGTGGCTGACCCATATATACTTCCTCGGTGAGGTGTCCATGCAAAAAGGCATTTTTGACATCCAACTGACGAATAACCCACCCAAAAGAAATAGCTAGTGTAAGCACGATACGAACAACGGTGGGTTTAATAACTAGACTAAAAGTTTCAGAGAAATCTACTTCTGCCTGTTGATTAAACCCTTGAGCTACCAAACGAGCTTTATGGCGCTCAATGGAACCATCTGAATTATATTTAGTCTTAAAAATCCACTTAGAGCCCACGACATTTTTAGTTTTATCAAATGGCACCAAATCCCAAGTATTATTAGAAATAAGAGCATTAAATTCCTTAGCCATTGCCTCACACCATTTTAACTATTTATTAGCCTCTGAAAACAAGTAGGATCAGATGATAAAGCAACAATGTTTAAATTAAAAATCGTTTTTGGTTTAAAAATGCCCAACTTTGCTCTGGTCTGCATTGGGTGAGTATTGGTTAATGGGCCAGAGCTAGTTTGCGGTGGAGGGGAAGAGCCGGGGAGGGCAGTGGCGGAAGGGTCGGTTGGCATGGTGACGGATGCGGATGGTGTGGGGAAATGGTCGGCCGGAGACGAAGGGGGTATGGGGTCGGAGATGGGTGACAGAGGTAGAGAGGAGTGACTGGAAACCGGTGTTGGGGAACCTCCGACTAAGGGGGGTGTTTGTTCGGTTATGGCAGGAACATGGATGGGGATAGTGGTTGCGGAACTATGAGGAAGGGGGGTGGTGTTGGGGAGAGTAAAATCAGTAATGAGAGGACTATATTCAGGGGAAGAATGACCCGTAGAAGAAGACAATGTGGCATAAGGAAAAATATTTTCATGAAATCGAACATGCCGACTGATATAAACTTTGCCAGACTTGGGATCCAAACAACGGTATCCTTTAAACCCAGATGCATAGCCAAGAAAAACACATTGTATAGAATGAGGAGAAAGTTTATTGGAAGAAGAGGCCGAAAAATTGGGATAACACGCGCACTCAAAAACACGTAGTAAACTATAGTCAGGAGGTTTTTGAAAAAGAATATCATACGGAGAAACACCAAACAAATTAGGAGTAGGAAGCCTGTTAATTAATAATATATGCAGCTGTAAAAATAGCATCTACCCAAAAGGTGTTAGGAATAGAAGTTGTGAGAAGCATAGTCCTAACAAATTCTAAAATATGACGATGTTTGCGCTCAGCAACACCGTTTTGTTGAGAAGTATGATGGCATGATTTTTGAAAATAAATGTCATTTTCAGAGAAAAATTGTTGCATATGAGAATTAACAAACTCACCCCCTCCATCACTCTGAAAAATTTTAATTTTAGAATTAAATAAATTTTCAACTAAAAGTTTGAAAAGACGAAACTGGTGAAAAACTTCATTTTTGGTGCGCAAGGTATACACCCCAAGTAAAACGAGAGAAATCATCAATAAAGCACACATAATATTTAAAACATAAATTAGAGAGAATAGGAGATTGCCACACATCAGAATGAATTAATTGTAAAGGAGCAGAAGTAGTATGACTACCATCCGAGGAAGGTAACCGTTGGGACTTACCCAAAAGGCACGAAACACAATCATGTTCAAAATTTGAGGAACTAGAAATAAGTTTTCTACTACGCAACACACGTAAAACAGATTTGCCACAATGTCCTAATCTACGGTGCCACACAGGGTCAGGAGAAGAAATAGTAGCTAAAGCTAAAGGTGCAGACGGACTAAGGCTAGTAGGATAGAGATGACCATTATGACGCGCCTGAAGAAGAACTGCCCCCGAAGTTTTGTCCTTAACAAAAAAATAATTTTTGTCAAAAATAGCAACACAGTTGTTATCAACACATAATTTTTGAATGGAAATTAAATTAAATTTAAGTCGAGGCACATGAAAAACAGATTTTAATGATAATGGGCGACTGAAAGTATTAAATCTAATATTTCCAATATTAGCAATAGAAAGAGTAGTATCATTCGCTACACTAACGGTCATGGAGCCATAGTAAGGAGATTTATTGGACAAAATACCTTCAGACGACGTCATATGAGCAGAAGCACCGGAGTCCGGATACCACAGAGCATCGTTGGATTCCCCACTGGGAGCAACCAAAGCAGGCGCATAGGCTGGAGTAAAACGAGACGGACAGTGTAGTGCAGAGTGACCTTCAGAGAAACAAATTTGACACACAACTGGGAAAGGAATGAAGTCAAGAATACCCTCCGCTAATGGGAAACCTGCATAATGAAAGTGAGTACCAAAAGTAGATTTAGCATTAATATTTAAATTGGACATGACAGAATTACCCGCGGAAGCATTTGGTGTACTCGAGGTGAAAGCACCCCCTGTGGCCGAGGATCCAGGTATCGCCGGCGGACGTGGAACGCCGTTGGCCGCCTGATAAAATTGCTGAAACTGTCCACGACCTCTGCCACGGCCTCCCCTGCCGCGGCCTCCTCTGCCGCGGTATGCCTGCTGCTGGTTATGCTGACCCGGCTGATTTGGACCAGCTTGCGCACCGAAGGCCTGCTGCAAGTTTAAAGACTCCTGACGACGCTGATGAAGTACGCGCTGTTCCGCCTCTAACACTCTTGGTTGTAGGATATCAGGCGGAAATTCATGCGGGAATAAAGATACGGTACCCACAAAAGACCGTATTCAGGTCCCAATCCATTCAAAGTACATTCCAATATTTCTTTATCGGTCACAGGAGAATTTATGGCAGCTAGAGCATCAGCTAGATTTTTAATATCACGCAAATAATGCTCCATGGACTGATTTTCTTTCTTTTTAATGGAATTTAAAGTGCGTTTAAGGTCCATGGCTCTAGGTAAACTAGCTGACATAAAACGTGTTTGTAAACGAGTCCATATAGCCGCTGAATGTTTAATATCATGCACATCAGTTAATACCTCCCGAGATAGGGTAGCAAACAACCAAGAACGAATAGTTTGATCTACCCTGAGCCAATGATAGTAATCGATATTAACGATTTGATGATTATTAAAATTCAGCGTGTACATAGGTGGTACCTGGATGGAACCATCAATCACTCCAAATAGACTTTGAGAGACCAGAAAAGATTCAAATTGTGTGCGCCAGGTAAGGTAGTCTTCAACAGATTTGAGCTTGATAGTAACAATCTGACTGACATTGGCAGCATGAGATAGGGATTGCGCCAATAGGGCCATAGAAGAGCCACACATAATAGGGTCGTGAGATGGCCGTGTAATTCCAGGGGATCCAGCGAACGAAGGCCCATAAAATTGAGGAGAATATGGCGGGATAGGCTGGGAATTGACCGGAGGAACCGCCGAGGGCCAGGGAAGAGATGCCGGTAGACTGTGAAGAAGCTGGTACGGGTGGGGCGGCGTCCAGATGGAGGAAGAATATTCTGGCGCAGGTACCGAGTATTGCGGCTGCGGCGTCGGAGAGAAGACGGCGCCTGAAGGTTGCTGGGTCGACACCACCGCAGAGGAGACTGCCGAAGGAGGTATGATTGGGGAAGGAACGGTGGTGATTGGTGCGGCGGACGGTGGTTCCGACGCTGCCGTCGTGACAGAGGAAACGGCGGAGGGAGTGGTGGACATCGTTGGCTGCGGTGAACAAGAGGGAGAGATTGCAGCCGGAAATTTTTTTAGCCCTAGGTTTCTGATACCATGTGAGAATATTTGGGAAAAAGGTACTCCAACAGAAGTCCTGGACTAAATATATATAATAAAAGAATTTAAAACATACTAGGAAACAAATATGCCTAATAATATTCTATTGCAAACCTCGCATGCAATTCTCATAACATATTCCATGCATATTCATGTACTTCATTTCATACATGTCTAATCATTTTTGGCTAATCACATGTTTAAATATCTTTTAAACATCATTATAAATACATGTAACATTTATTTAGGTAATCTCATAATTAACCCAAAAGTTATAACATATTAAGCCTTCCACTCACCTTAAATGAGCTTAAGCGCGTTCTACGCTCCTCGGTTGAAGTCCGGGGTAAACTCCGACAAAACTCTGGCGAACTCTAGAAACACTTTAGTTATGCTCCTAACATGGTTTTATCATCACAAAACTCATATCAACACAAATAACCTCTAAAAGGTTATTTTGCGGCGAACCGGTCATTTTGGCTTCTAAGTCCGTTCTTGGACTTAAAACTACCTTCCAACCCCTCATTCTACACTTCTAAACATGTAGAATAATTCCAGAGGTCCTTCATATGATATATTAGTCATATGATAGATTAGCAATAGAGGAAAAATTATTATAAGGTCATTACCTTAATCCTTCACGCTTTTTACCAAGTTTTTCCTTCTTTAACCTTTCTCTTTGGACTCCCATGGCTTGAGTTCGAAT